AGGAGGGGAAGGCCCTCTATGAGGTGGATTGATTCAGTGACTGGGGTAATCGGGATGGGAGTGTCAGAGACAGTGCGATTGGCACAGGACAGAGCAGAATTTAGGGCTGTTGTACATAGGGTCGCTATGAGTTGCAAGCGACTCGACGGCACATAACAACAACAACATCTTGCTTTATCGTCCCGAGCTGCCTTTTGAAATTTTCTGTTCAGATCTTTGATTTCTTGATTTCTTCCTTTAGCTTTGGCTTCTCGGCGCTCTAATGCAATACTCAGAGTTTCATCTGACATCCATCTTGGTCTTTTCTTCTTCTTCAGCTTTTGTAATGATCTTTTGCGTTCGTGGATGGACAGTTCCATTGTGGTTTAGCCAGGTGGCTGGTCTTCTAGGGAGGGAAGGGAGGGGGACACCATGGTAGTTGAGGCTGTTCACTCCCTTTGTTGACATGTTGATATTCCTTGAATCCTTTGTTCTCCCTTTGACCTTGGTCCCCAGCCTGACAATAGCATCAAGTTCCATCCAGTCTGTGGATCAGACCTCCGGTTAGAAGTTCCTGGGGAGGCCAGCGAGTCCCCATTGTTGGCCAGCAGCTTCTAAGAAGTCGCCTCTGAGAAGGGGCAGGGACTGCAGTTTCAGGGGGCTGACACATCCAAGGTCAGGTCATCAGCTTGTAAGGTCAAGTGCAGAAGTCATGTGCCAGATGTAGAACTGGGCCAGAAAATCGCTCTCCCTTAGTCAGAGTCCAGACTGTATTCAGCACAGAGCACGCCCTGAGAAGGGCCCCTTCATCGGATCAGGCTCATCTCGTCTTTACAGAACAGCCTCTGCTCCTGCCTCGCGGACACCACAGAGGTGAGACTTTACAGCACGCAGTCACTTCAAGTGCTGCCGAAGATCACGTCCTGCAGCCTTCAATACGGACAACCTCTCTCAACATCAAGAAAACAAAAACTCTCACTGGGCCAACACGCAGCATCATGATAGTTGGAGGGAAGATCGAAGTTGTCCGTGATTTAATTTTCCCTCACGGACGGCCAAAAGAACAAAGAGATGTGTCATGAAGAAAGTACAGCCAGGTTGCCCCTTAGAAACGAGGTTGATGGATCTTTGTGTTACATACTTGAGCATGTTGTTGTTGGGGGGCATTCCTTGAGGGCGACAGGGAAGCCGTGCTTGAAGAAAAGGGGAATCAGAGAAAGAGAAGATTTTCAGCAAGATGGACTGACAAAGGGCTCAAGTGTATCGGAGATGATGGGGATGGCGCAGGACAGAGCAGGGTTCAGCTGTGTTGTTCGTGGGATCACCGTGAATTGTAGTCAACGTGACAGCACCTAACAACAAGGTTGTTGTGTTGTTGTTATGTGCCATCGAGTCGCCTGCGACTCATAGCGACCCTATGTACAACAGCCCTAAACTCCGCTCTGTCCTGTGCCAATAAGGTAGTCACGTTATACTGCGAGTCATGACCACAGCTGGCAGCCAACATTGACCAGGGGCTGCCTAAAGAAAGTACCGACCACCAACCAGCAAATGCTCACCCAGCTCGAGGAAAGACTCAGGGGCTTTGAAAATCAAGAGGGGTCCACAGATAGGAGGCTTCTTGGGGAGGTGGCAGGTGTGGACGTGGAGATTCTGAGGCGGAAGGAGGGATGTGGAGTGGGTGGGCAGCACAGGCTGGGGTAGACAGTGAGCCGACAGATCAAACTGCACTCTGTCGCTGACGTTTCTGAAGGCGACAGTGGTAGATGAGATTCCAGGCAAGTCTGTCTGCCTGGACCTGGGAGTTTAGAGGACATAGTTCTGTCCTTCCTCCCTTTGGGGTAAACAATGCCTTCACCAGAGACGACCTTGACCCCTAGCCAGGTGCCGCCAAGTGCCCTTGACTCATGCTGCCCCCACCTATGCCACATGGGTTTCCTGCCTGGGGTTTCCAATGGCTGGCTATTTAGAAATAGGTTCCCAGGACTTCTCTCCGAGGCATCCCCAGGTGGACTCAGACCTCCCGCCTGTGGTCAGCACAATCCGTGACTCGAGCCTGACATTGAAGGCTCCAGTCAGCTGAGCTTCCCCAGCTCTGGAGTTTACCCTCCCTCCCATCCCCACCCTGTCCACTCCAGCTGCACGCAGCTTCCCCCATTCCCAGATGCACTGCCCACCCCCACCCCAACCTCTGTCCTCTCCCAAGCTCCACCTGGACCTCTCCTCTCTGTTCTTCTCTCCAGAGAGCCTCCCTCTGCCGTCCACTGCGCCTGACCCTTGGGACATACCTCACACTGTGTGGTCACTTTGTGCTGTGGCATTTGTGCCTGTGTCAGCCACCCAGTGCTGCTGTAACAGCTATCACAAGGGGCAGCTTTTCTCACTGTTTTCTCACTGTTCACGGGACTGGAAGTCTGAATTCAGGTCACTGGCTCCGTGAGAAGGTCTGTCTCCTTCAGCGTCCATGCCTGATGACACATGGTTAAGTGCTGACCCTAGCCGCTCACTGAAGTCACAGTCTGACCCGGGTTGCTGCTCCTATAAAGAGCCTGGGGGCACATAGGGGCCAGTTTCCCCTGTTCTGAGGGTCCATGTGTATCGGAATAGGTCCGCTGGGCTGGTATTTGGCTGTTCTCGGTTCCTTGGGCATCTTCCTGTGGCCTGGGGCCACCACCCTCAACTCTATACTTCTTTTCTCTGTCTTGTCCAGTTGGTTGATATGTCAAAGGTCACTGGTTTAAAACACACACCCCCTACACTGATATAACCTTATTAACATAATGACAAAAGTTCCTGTTCTCGAAGGGAACCAGGGGTGTGGTTATTTGGTGTCACTCAGTCACCTGGATCTAGTAAGGCAGTGGACAGCGGCCTGTGGGTTCCTGGGCTCCATCTTACCAGAAGCAGCTAGCCAGGCATATCCTCTGCCGGCTGACCTTTGGGTTAACAGGGGAGCTTGCTAACCGTTGCACCACCACAGACCTCTGTCTGCTGTTTGCTCTGGACTCAATTCAGTGATGCTGACTCATCTCAACCCATTGCTGTCAAGTCGGAGCCAGGGCAAAGCTGTCCCCCTCCTCCCCCCCCCCCTTGAGTTTCCAAGGCTGCAGATCCCACAGGAGGAGACTGCACACGTTGGTTCCTCAAAGACGCGGTGGATTCCATCCTCCAGAGACCCTTGTTAGCAACACAGTTCCCTACGGACTAGGCCAGCGGAGCTCCCCGCGCTGAGTGATCCTGTGTGTGCGGAGACCTGCCCCTTGGGCTTAGCTTTTACAACAGGTGTCTTGGAGGGCCGGAATTGGATCCGTGGCCCTGCCACACAACACAGGTCTGGTCACCTCCCTTATCCCCAGGACCTGGCTCAGGCCATCTGTGACAGCACTGTCTAAGCCCTCTGCAGGGGTTCACTTTGCTCGGCCCCCCCTAACCTGGTTCTCTCCCTCCCTTCACCAGGGACCTGGGGAGTCCAGATGGGGAGACGACGCATGACTCCCAGATCACGCAGGAAGTGGTCCCCAAGTCCCTGGGGACCTCGGAGCCTTCCTACACATCTGTGAACCGGGGGCCTTCCCTGGACAGGGCTGAGGTGTATTCCAGCAAGCTGCAGGACTGAGCTGAGCCTCCAGCGCCTGGCGGCATCCCCCACCATCATGCTCAGTACCTTCTCCTCCCCTGACAAGCCAAACCCCCCTAATAAAATCTCCCTGATGCTGAGTTCAATAAAGATTGACAGGCTGAACAAGCAGCTGAGATGATGTCCTCTGGAGGGGTTGGAAGGTGGGGCTGTTTAGCTGTTAATCCAGTCACCCCCAGTCAGAGCAACCCACCGTGTGAACCAGAGAAGGAGACACTGCCCAGCTTGCATCATGCCCGCAGCTGCCTGTCCATCGGACACTGGGATGCACGTGGTTTCCATGGCGGAGCTTCAGAAGTCCACTGCCAGGTGGTTTCTTAGTCTGGAGACTCTGCTGAAACCTGTTTAACATCCTTTGTTGTTGTTGGATGTCTTTGAATGGAGGATGTCCCATAAGACCCTAAGAACATCAGATGTGAATGCTATCCTATCCTGTGCCAACCCCACACCTCTGACACACTGTGTCAGTCGAGCTGGTCGAGGGTCTCCCTCCACCTTTCCAAGCATGATGTCCCTCTCCAAGGAACAGCCTTTCCACGTAACATGTGTTAAGTATGTGAGCATCATAATAACACATAAGCTTCCACTGACAGACAGGTGGGGCTGTATGCATGAGTACACTGCCCCAGGAATCGAACCTGGATTTCCTTTTTTTTTTTTTAAATTTTATTATTTTGTGTGTGTGTACTGTCAAATCGGATCCGACTGGTACAGGAGGAGATTGTCCCTCCTTCTCAGCGGAGCATCTGGTGGTTTTGAACTGCGTACCCCTGGGACTGCAGTGCAGCCTCTTGCCACTAGGCCACCAGAGCTCGCCAAACCTGGACTTACATGTTGTTGCTGTGTTCCGTTGAGTCTGAACCAACGCATAACTGACCCTCCAGTTCTCAAAGGCAGTAGATCACATGGGAAGAGATTGTCCGTCTTTCTCCTGCAGAGCAGCTGGTGGGTTTAAGCCACGTGTCTGTGGGTCGAGAGCACACCTCCTTACACGAGGCCCCTGCCACTGACCCGTCACTATCCTGGCATGGAGTGTCAGGGCTGGACTCCACTGGAGACTAGTCTTGTGGCTTTGAAAGATCACCCTTCTTCCCTCACCCCCATCTGGGTCTTTGTTTTCTCCTCTGAAAAATGAGCTGATGGAAATGGTCCATTTCCAAGGCCATGTATGCCTGGGTTCCTCCCCTGAAGATGCTTTGAGCTGGGCCATCTGTGGGACTGGACACAGACAAGCTGGCCCGCTGGCCTGGACACAGACGAGCTGGCCCGCTGGCCTGGACACAGACGAGCTGGCCCGCTGGCCTGGACACAGACGAGCTGGTCCGCTGGCCTCAGAGGACTCCCAGTCCAGGTAGAGGGACACGTGGGCAGAAGTCACACCCTGAGCTGAGTGCCACATGTCTTGGAGGGAAGCAGTTGCTGTGCCAAAGGTGTCATGTTTAATCTCTGGCTCTGAGTCCCCTGGCTCCTGTCTAGAGACCCCCAAAGATGCCCCAGTTTGAAAAGCAGAACATCTAGTGACTCGAGACCCCTTTGCCAGCCCCAGCTGCACCACTGTAACTTATTTTATTATTTTGAGTGTGTGTACCGTCGAATTGGATCCGATTGGTACAGGAGGAGATTGCTCCTCCTTCTCCAGCAGAGCATATGGTAGATTCGAACCATGCGCCTTCAAGATTGCAGCACAGCTTCTTGCCACTAGACCATCAGAACTCTCTAGCTGCACCGCTGTAGTTGGTCACTTGTTGGTCAGCGACTGCCTCTTGATCTGAGTGCTGCCATCTCTCCACTGGCCTGTTTCAGCCATGCTCACCTAAGAACCCGCTGGCATTGAGCTGATTCTGACTCTGTGAGCCTAGGATAGAGCACAGCTGCCCCAGGAGGTTTCTAAAGTCATCCATCTCTACAGGCGAAGATTGTCCGTCTTTCTCCCTTGGTGTGGCTAGTGGGTTCAAATCTCTGATCTTTTGGGTTTCAGCCTCTGGGAGTCAGGAGCTCTCAGCTAAGGGGCCACCTTGGCCACAGCTCTGAGCCTTGCGTGAGTGAGCCATTGACCAGCCCCACCTGTCAGCAGGCAGGACTCTTCCTGCCTCTCTGCCCCACTGATGCTGCGGGGAGGAACTTCTCGTCCTCAGGGGATCACAGCGCTCCAGGCTGAACTGGTCTGACTGAACGACCAGCCAGAAGTTAGGGGTTCTTCTTCTCTTGGAGCCTATAAAAAGAGCAGGGGCCACGTGGGGATGGTCATATCTGACCCCACAAACTCCACAATGGGCAGCTGTCCTCGTCAACAACATCCACAGCACAAAACCAATTCCCGTACAACCAGACACGTTCCCCTCACCCCTGCACCCCTTTCCACTCACCCCCAACACCAGTATCACTTGCTCTACTGGGTCAGAAATACATTGCAATAGCTCACAGGCCATACAGAACCAGGTTAGGGGAGGAAACATGAGGTCAGACATGTCCCTCACACTCTGACACCCCTTTCCACTCACCTCAACACCAGTCATACTGCTCCGCTGGGCCAGAAGTTTGTTGCGATAGCTCACAGACTGCACAGAACCACGTTAGGAAAGTCAAAAGGCTGTGTAATTAAGGTTGGTAGCAAGGAGCAATCACTTAGGATAGCTTCTGAAAGGTGCTCGCACGCACCTCAACTTCGAACCTTGTGCATTTAGGCCAGTGTTACAAAGTTCTCAAGAGAGCTCTGGTGGCCTAGCGGCAAGAAGCTGCACTGCAATCCCAGAGGCATGCAGTTCAAATCCACCAGATGCTCTGCTGGAAAAGGAGGGACAATCTCCTCCTGTACCAGTCAGATCCAATTTGACAGTGTTGTTGTTGTTGTTGTTATGTGCCGTCGAGTCGTTTATGACTCATAGCGACCCTATGCACAACAGCCCTAAACC